CGCAGAGCTGTCGGACAAGTGGAAGGTCACTCATCTGAAGGTGAGATGTCCGGAGGGAGGGCGGGGGCCTCCCTGGGAACTGGCCCCATCCTGGGTGCGGCCTCAGGCAGCAGGTGTGGGACTTGGGGAGAAGGCAGCCGCCTCTTTCCTGGCTGGGACAGCCCCTGGGTCACTCAGAGGACCCTGGGGGCGAGGAGGCCCCAGGCCGCCTGGAGTGGGCGGGGGAGGACCTGGCTGGGCAGCAGCACTGCAGCCTGAACCCTTCCCCACACACAGGAGCACAGGAAAGCCTTCCAGCTGATGTGGCTCGGCTTCCTCAAGCACAAGGTAGGGCCTGGGGGAGCAGGCTCCAGTCTGGGCCTGGCCTGTGGGGTGTGGCAGACAGACCCCTGACCCACTCTCCCCACCCCCCTACCCCCACAGCTGCCCCTCAGCCACCCCCACAGCTGCCCCTCAGCCTCTACAAGAAGGTGCTGGTGATCATGCATGAGTCCATCCTGCCCCACCTGGCCCAGCCCAGCCTCATGATCGACTTCCTCACCCGCGCCTACGACATCGGTGAGCGGGCGCCCAGAGGGGCTGCAACAGGGGCCGACCAGGCGGGGTGGGTGCTGGGGTCCCTTTCCTCCCTTGTGAGACGGAGCGGGGCGGGCCGGCCTGTGGGCAGCTGGCTCCAGGAGCCTGGAGTGTGGCTCACCCTGCGGGTGGGGGTGCAGGCTGGGCTGCAGCTCCACGGCTGTGTGTCTGTCTGCAGGGGGCGCCATCAGCCTCCTGGCCTTGAATGGACTTTTTATCCTGATTCATGAGCACAACCTGTGAGTGTCCATCTGGGGGGAGTGCAGGCCTCTCCTCGGCCCCCAAAGCCCCTGGGGAGGGGGGGGGCTGAGCCCCTGGGACTGTGGTTCCCTGGGGCCCTGACCTGTCCGCTTGCTTCATGCTTTTACCCCCACGTGCCTCATTCCCTCGTTCACTCCCACACCCACAGGGAGTACCCCGATTTCTACCGCAAGCTCTACGGCCTCCTGGACCCGTCCGTCTTCCACGTCAAGTACCGGGCGCGCTTCTTCCATCTGGCCGACCTCTTCCTGTCGTCCTCGTGAGCGTCAGGAGGCACAGGCCCCCCGTCCCCTGGGCCCCAGCCCATCCCCCGGGCTGCACTGCA